AAGTTTTACTTAATATATACTAAATCGATCTTCTGTATATAAAGATAATTGAAAATGAATCTTGATGTGAATGGAATGGGAGAGGGAGCGGGAGATGGGAAGGGTGCGATTGGGAGGGAAATTATGGGGGGGCATTATAATCCATAAACTGTACTTCGGAAATTTATATTTACTAAATAAAAAAATTTAAAAAAAAAACAACCAAAGTTAATGGCTGATAAGAGTATATTTTTTAAAAAAGATTTATTTATGTATTTGAAAGGCAGAGTTACAGAGAGAGAGAAAGAGAGCGAGCGGGAGAGATCATCCATCCACTGATTCACTCCCCAAATGGTTGCAATGGCTGGGCCCCAGCCGAAGCAAGGAGCTGGGAGCTTCTTCAGGTTCTTCCATGTGGATATAGGGTCCCAAGAACTTGGGCCATCTTCCACCACTTTCCCAGGCCATTACCCAGGAGCTGGATTGGAAGTGCAGCAGCTAGGACACAAAACAACACCCATATAGGATGCCAGTGCTACAGCGGAGATTTAGCCTACTATGCCACACAGCTGGCTCCAACCCATCAAACCTTAAGTTTGATCACTCAAAGTTCTCTTTCCCTGAGAATTCTGCCACCTTCTGTATCCATACTCATCCTAAAGAACAGCTTCTTGGAACAGCACAACAAGCACTTCCATTAAGACCCAAATATTTTGGGGCCGGTGCTGTGGCTCACTTGGTTAATCCTCCACCTGCAGTGCTGGCATCCCATATGGGTGCCAGGTTCTAGTCCCAGTTGCTCCTCTCCAGTCCAGTTCTGTGCTGTGGCCCGGGAAGGCAGTGGAGAATGGCCCAAGTGCTTGGGCCTGGCACCCGCATGGGAGACCAGGAGGAGGCACCTGGCTCCTGGCTTCTGATTGGTGTAGCTCCGGGCGTGGCGGCCATTTTGGGGGTGAACCAACAGAAGGAAGATCTTTCTCTCTGACTCTCTCTCACTGTCTAATTCTATCTGTCAAATAAAGAAAAAAAAAAACCCAAATATTTAACTTGTCTGTGTCACAGAAAATTACAAACAGAAAGTATAAGCCTAAAGTCGTGCTTAGGAAATATGTCTTAGTATTCTACCCTATTTAGACATGATCTAAGTATCTAATGAATATCCATTAATTAACTCAATTTAGGATCAGTCCAAGATTTTAAATTACCAAAAGATCTTGGAAATTATCTTCAATTTATATGCTATAAAGTGTAATTACTGTAGAAATAAAGTTTGTCAGAGTAATGATTCAATTTGGTAAAAACAAATTTACATTTTGCATAATCTCAAACATTAAATAGAAGTGAAGCTAACTAATTTGACCAGCAAACTGGAAGAAGATATTGAAACAGAATAAAATCTATGCATATGGAGGCCAGCACTATAGCCCTGGCTGTTCTACTTCTGATCCAGCTCCCTGTTAATGTACCTGGGAAGGAAGCAGAGGATGGCCCAAGTGCTTGGGTACCTGCACCTTTGTGGGAGACCTGGAAGAAGCTCCTGGCTCCTGGCTTGGATCCACCCAGCTCTGGTCATTGCAGCCATTTGAGGGGTGAACTAGTGGATGGAAGACCTCTCTCTCTCTGTCTCTCCCTCTCTCTATCTGTAACTCTGCCTTGCAAATAAATAAATAAATCTTTTTTAAAAATCTACACATATATCACAATTTACATTGATAAATAAGAAGAGCCAAAAGTTTTTTAAAAAGTTAAACTAGGGGAAAAAAAATAAAGTGGAAGCCAGCATTGTGATGCTGTGGTTTAAGCCAACACTTTTCACACAAGCATCCCAGTTAGAGTCCTGGCTGCTCTGCTTGTGATTCAGTTGTCTGCTAATGTGCCTAGGAAGGGAGTCAAAAATGACCCAAAAACTTGTGCCCCTGAAACTCACAAGGGAGACCCAGGTGGTGCACCAGGTTCCTGACTTTGACCTGGCCCAGTTCCAACTGTTGGGTCATTTGGGGAGTGAACTAGCAGATGGAAAAAATCTCTTTCTGTCTCTGTTTCTCCCTCTGTTGCTGTCATTCTACCTTTGAAATAAATAAATCTTTTTTAAAAAATTAGACCAAAAAACTAAGGTAGTTTTATTTGACAATATTTCCACAAATTTTGTAAGCTTGATTTCTTTATTATTTTTTATTTTTTGACACGCAGAGTGGACAGTGAGAGAGAGAGAGAGAGAGAGAGAAAGGTCTTCCTTTACCGTTGGTTCACCCTCCAATGGCCGCTGCAGCCGGCACGCTGCGACTGGCGCACCACACTGATCCGAAGCCAGGAGCCAGGTGCTTCTCCTGATCTCCCATGGGGTGCAGGGCCCAAGCACTTGGGCCATCCTCCTCTGCACTCCCGGGCCACAGCAGAGAGCTGGCCTGGAAGAGGGGCAACTGGGACAGAATCCAGCGCCCCGACCGGGACTAGAACCCGGTGTGCCAGTGCCGCAAGGCGGAGGATTAGCCTATTTTGCCACGGCACCAGCCTTGATTTCTTTTTTTTTTTTTTATTTTATTTAATGAACATAAATTTCCAAAGTACAGCTTATGGATTACAATAGCTCCCCCCCATAACTTCCCTTCCACCTACAACACTCCCCTCTCCAAACTCCCTCTCCTCTTCCATTCACATCAAGATTACTTTTCAATTATCTTTATATACAGAAGATCAATTTAGCATATATTAAGTAAAGATTTCAACAGTTTGCACCCACACAGAAACACAAAGTGTAAAATACTATTTGAGTACTAGTTATAACATTAATTAAACACCTAAGAGTAATTGTGTATTAATTACAGAGTTCAACCAATAGTTTTAAGTAGAACATAAAAAATACTAAAAGGGTAAAGTATTAAGTTCTCAGCCTTGATTTCTTAAAACATTTACATAAGATTCTATAAGAATTTTTTAGCATGCTGATACAATTTGAAGTTCAGTTTCCTTAATTTCTGGAAAGTTTGTGTAAATATTTATTTATTCTTAAGATACTTAGACTAGAGCTCTTTTGAGAAATTTTATAATCTAATTTATTAATATTATCCAGATACATAAAAATAATATACAATCATATGATGAAGAGAGAAAGGCATTTCTGAATTACAGAAAAAATAAACATGCAGATAGATTCCATTCTAAAAATTTCAGCTCTGAATCAAAATGAACACAGACTTACAAATGCATCATTTCATATCAAATAGCTGTTCTTTTCCAACTATATATAAATTATTTTTTTTAATTCTTATTTATTTTCATGTCATTTGAAAGTCAGAGAGGTAGGGAGAGTTCCTCTATCTGTTGACTCATTCTCCAAATGCCAGCAAAATCCAGGACTGGCCCTGGCTGAAGCCAGGACCTCAGAACTCAATCTGGATGGGTGGTAGAAATTCAAGTACTTGAGCCATCATCTGTTGCCTCCAAGGGTTTGCATTAGCAGGAAGCTGGATCCAAAGCAGAGGAGCCAGGACTCAATTCAGACACTGCTTTGGGACACTGGCCATCCCAAGGAGTGTTTCAACAGCTATGCCAGATGTCTGTGCAGATTGGTATGAATTCTTAATTGAGAGTTCAAAAGAGACCAACAAATCAAAGGCAGTCATAAATAATCTGCTTTCTATCACTCAAAAGAAATAATATCTCTATAAACCATTAATCCATTTACAGGAACCATCAGGGTCAGACCGTGACATCAAAAGGAGCAGCACCAGAAATCAAGCATGTACTTAAAAATAACCAAAATCAAATCCTCATCATGTTATCAATAGATTAGAATCTGGAACACAGGATGAAGAATCAGACACACACTCTCAGTGGGTGTCCGGGTCACCAGTCAGGAGAGAGGTGAAAAGGTCTCTGAGAGTCCTCATAATAGAGATAGAGTTAACAAGAATATGAAGGCGACATTTAATCTTATCTGAGTCACATCAACAAATTATCAAAGGCAAAATGCCCCCAAACAGTTTAGGTTATGGTTTAATGAAGCTATTTCAATTAGGGGAATGTTTACTAATGAAGGACCATAGAAAAAATATAAAGGGGACCAAACAAAGTAAGCTTGTCTATATTGGGAGCTGTGAGAGGCAGATTATTGTCATAGTAATCAAAACTTATTAGTAAAGCGCCTATCTGAAGCTTTAATCTACTCCACTTATATCATATGTGACTCTCCAAGCTAAATGGTAAAATAAAACCAGAACTAATATAAAATATCCTGCAGCACCTGGTGAAGCAAGTACAGATCTACCTTCAACAAACAAAAACAATAAAAAGACCCTTCAGAAGAAGTGTTCACAAAACTTTTTCAAATGCAACAGAAGATTGTTCAGCATAGAAGACAAAATTAGCAGTCTCAATAAGACTTCAATATAGAAAAAAGTGCATTTTTCAAAATATATTTTGGAGACTTGGAAATAAAACAACATAAAAATTATAAGGTAATCAAATATTTAAGTTTGAGAGGGGTTGAAATAACTTATTAGACATGAAGAATAGTAAATTAATGTAATATAAGATAGATTTAAAGAAATATTAAAATTATAGCACAATAAGATGTTTAAGATAAAAAATATGCAAAGAACACAAAATTCAAAAAAGGAAATTTGATTGGCCAATAAATGTAAGAAAATTTGCTTGACTACAAGTAATCAGAAAAATGTGAGTTAAAATAAAAATAAGCATAAGACTCTTACATTGGAATATTGATATACTTTAAAATATGAAAATTTAGGGAGAATGTAGAGGAATAGGAACCCTAAACATGACAGATAGGAGTACAAACCAACAAACAATTTTAGAAAATAATTTATAGCATCTAATTACTATAATTATGTATTTCTTATGCTTGGGCAATTCAATATCTAGTAAATATTTTAGAGAAATTTTGGCACATGTGTACAAAGATATTTGTTGAAATATGTTAGAAATAGTTTAAAAAGCTGTGGAGATTAGAAAAATCAATTGTAACATATCTAATGCTAGTATTCATTTGTGATATTCACCAGTAATTCTAGGTCTCTACTTCCCAGGCATGTAGAAGAATTGCAAATTCCCATCAACCTGAGGCTGGGAGGGCTGTCATGTGCACTCTAGGATGTATAGCAGTATCCTTAAACTCTGCCAGTAGCAACATCCACTCATTGTGATAGTCATAATTGTCTCCAGTTATTGCCTGGGAACATTCAGAGTGGAAAGCTCATAGATGCCACCTGTTTGGTGAGTGGGTAGATGAAGTTGACAACATGGAGTCAGGAAAGAAGAAGAAAGGATAAACTGGAACAGAATTCTGGAGTTTAGAAGTCCCAGGCAAAATCATTCCCAGTTAAGAATTGGAGGAAGTACCCAAGGGAATTAAGGAAGAATGTCTGAAGTGAAGGTTATATCTGTAAAAATAATATCAAAAGGAGAATGTAAAAAACATTTCTGATAATGGATTACTCATCCTGCAGCAAACCACAGCCCCACCAGTGCGATGACCAGAAGGTAAATTCCCTTTCAGCCCTAACTGGGTTGAGTGGTGTTGTCAATGAAAGGCTTCCTTATATGTGAGACTGACAATGCTATGTTGTGTTTTCAAAGAGTTAAAAATATTACAATACAAAACAAGGGCAGATTATAGGAAGGTTAACAACTTCAGAAATGAAGTCTTAATAGATTTAATTATGATAAGGCTTTTTGTTTTGGGAGCGACCTTTTCAATGACAGGCCAATTAGGAACTACCTAATTATCATACTTACTATAGAACTTTCAAGTGAAGGAATCTGACTTTATAGATTATGTGTTTTACACAGAGAAATTTGACTAACAAACCAAGAGTAATCCACCAGATCTTTATAAGGTGCTTCTGTGCTGTTATCTGGGAATACTTCTTCATTGGCAATCACACTAGAAGCTGTGTCATCAACTCAACTCATGTTTAACTGCTCTTTACCAGGGCCTGAGTGGGTAAGATGATGCTCATGACAGAGTCCTTACTCACAATAAAGTTATTACTTGGTAATAGAAAAAACCCTATGTCCAAAAGAGGCACAAACAAGGAAATGAACAACTTTGGAAACCCAAGGAAGGAATCCTTTCATTTTGGAGGTGTTTGATGTGGACTTGGAATGGAGCCATGGATATCACAGAAGTTTGACTGCTAGTGGTGCAGTATGAACATGAAAGTATATTTTATGAGGAAGGAACACAGAGAGAAGAAGCTTAGTGTGAAACATGTGAAAACATGGGATATTGTGCTAGAAAGCCAGATTGGAGTCAGCTGTGGAGAGCTTTGAATACACAAATAAGGTGTATACAATAATGCTTTAAAACGAGTGGCTCATTACCTTGGATATATTTTTGTTGTTTTGGATGCTATATCATTGCTTCCAACTGTAGACATATTGATTGCAGATAAGGACCACATTGTTATAAATGAATGTTAATAAGCTTTTCAAAGGCATATATACATATGAGTTGATATGATTGGTAGCAGCTCCAAAGTTTGTATTACAACAAAACAATTTGTCAGTCTTCGGCCGGCGCCGCGGCTCACTAGGCTAATCCTCCGCCTAGCGGCGCCGGCACACCGGGTTCTAGTCCCGGTTGGGGCGCCGGATTCTGTCCCGGTTGCCCCCTTCCAGGCCAGCCCTCTGCTGTGGCCAGGGAGTGCAGTGGAGGATGGCCCAGGTGCTTGGGCCCTGCACCCCATGGGAGACCAGGAAAAGCACCTGGCTCCTGGCTCCTGCCATCGGATCAGCGCGGTGCGCCGGCCGCAGCGCGCCGGCCGCGGCGGCCATTGGAGGGTGAACCAACGGCAAAGGAAGACCTTTCTCTCTGTCTCTCTCCCCCCCCCGGGCCCCCCTGCCGGCCAAAAAAAAAAAAAAAAAATTTTGGCCCTCCTTACCCTGGAAGGCGGATTTAAAACGGAAAAACCCCTTTTTCCTCTAAAATTTTAAGTTTTTTTGGAGGGCCCCTTCGGGAAAAAGTTTGGGGAAAGAGAAAGGTGTAAAGGGGTTCTGAAAAACGGGAGAGAAAAAATTTGTGAAAAGAGGAAGGGGGGGTTTGGCGTGGGGGGGGGGAGGGGGTAGAGGGAAAGGGGTTGGGGTTTTGGT